GTAGTAGTAGTAGTAGTAGTAGTAGTAGTAGTAGTGGTATTAGTACTACTGTGTAATACTGTAAGAAATTCTATCAATTATTGTAATATTATCAGTAACAATTACGGTAGATTATAATAAAATTTTTGGGCAAATGGTACTCTCCCACTAATTTTTTTTTTTTTTAAAACCAAATTGACATATGTTCAGAACGAGTTCTAGAGGCATTCTGTTACAGGTTATTAAGTTCTCAGTGATAGCAATTATATCCTTATTGTAGAATGATGTTGCGTTCAATGATTAGGCAAGGAGAAGGTCATTGGCACCGTAGGAGGCAGCAACGAACGGATTTTATCACTGATACGTACCGATCATTCATTTGTAATGTTTTCATTTATTTATCATCAGTTGCATCCTTACATAACTCTCGGATATTAATCCCGTGGGATGAATTATTTAAAGGCGCTATAGCTTCTCTTTTGATAGGGGGATTAGAATATTGAAGGGAACAGCTGTGAGTCTCTGCAGGCAATAAAAATCAAGGAGTCAAAGTTCATTTGCTTGAAAAAAATCTTTGCGACAGTTCTAAAACGCACACAGCAGAGTTACGGTACCACTCTTTAGCTTCGCATTCATGCAGGTCAATGAGCTGTGATATTTCTAACACGTTCAGGGTGTTAAACTAGTGACCTTTTTCATTTTTTTTCTCTATCGATCTTCTCATTTTCCTTGGATTTGTTCAGAAATTAATATTTATATCCTTATTGAGGTACCGGTTATTTTAGTGGCTATGTGTGAAGTGTATGAAAAAATTAACCTGAGAGCCTTCCACTTTTGTCGAAGCTATCGATTAGAGAAAAGGCTTGTATGATATAAATTCTAACAGAATGGGCGAGTTTTGTTATGATTCACAAAACGCATTGTTTCATGTTTGTTATGTCCAAGATCGATTGTGACAGATGTTTAAATATATATATATATATATTTTGAATTTAGTCGATTTTGGATGATGGAAGCCTTATGTATAGATGATAAAGAAAAGTAAGCAATCAAAGGAGGATAGAATAATTTTGTACACTGTTCATTTAGGTTCATTCCCGAACGATGACGATGATAACGAGAACATTGGTTTAATCGTCAAGTGAATGGTTATTGATGTCTATTGTAACTTAAACGATTGATTTTCTAAATTTCATTCTCTCTTAATACTGTTACTATCTTTACTTCCATATAGGTAGAAAGCATGATAGCTTCACAACTTATGTCTTTTCTTTTTTTTTTTTCACAAGTTAAGAGGAAACATCAAAGATCGTTGGAAAGAGTATACTTGCATGTATGTACATATACATTTGTGCTTGTGTGGCGACAAGTATTACAACGTATTGAATGGCAGCAATGCCCTCAGATAATCATCCGGGATGAGCGAGCCACTTTGACGGAGTTCCGTCTTCCCTCCACCCACTCTCTTTCCTTCTGTTTCTTACCAGGACAGTTAACTGCAATAGATAATGACTTTTCAGGTGCTTCAGTACATGCAAGCTAAAGATTTCTTATATATCTTGTTTCACTGTTTTTTTCTTGCACATCTATCCTACATTTATATTTTCGTCCATTTTCTACTCGATTAGTTCTTCTTGTTCTATTGCGCATGGTGCTTTCTTACTCTTCCTGGATTATTGATTACGTGCAACCGATGCAGTCAATCTCTTCCTTATTTGTTATGAATCTTTTTAAATTTACATATTAGTAGTTTCTGGAGTACTCGTAATATGTATCGTTTAATAACAATTATTCCATATTCTTGTTAAATGCTTAATATGTCATTCCCATACTTTGTTACTCATATTTTGCTTCCACATTTATTTTAACCTCGAACATCTCTTTTGTAATTTTTCGTTCTTGATAGTTTTATGTCCTCACGAAATTCGTTAACTTAAAAATGAAGAGATCACCAAGCTCCACTCAGGCATAAAAGCACAGGAAGAGTAGATTTCAGTATGCTTCGAATTCGTGTTAAAATTGGCGTAAAGCATGTGAATATTCCAAACTATTTGTCGTGAATCTTTCGATGAATAATTGATCATCGGTCAATATAACATATTTCGCGTCTCTGTCATTTTAATCACTATCCATGTAACTACGACCTTATTAGTCATATTTAGAAACAAAAAAAAAAATTGATTTTGTCTGAATAACATTCATTCCATTTGTCTATCTAAACTTTTTCATTTTATCTCGACAAAAACCATACCACGTCTGAATACAATAAATAAATTAGTAACATACACGATTTGCTAATACATGCGTCATCTGCGTGCGTTTCTAACATTTTAAGCAGATTTGTAATAACAAACGCCGTATTTCAGGTCGAATGTCAGAAAGTGAGGAAGTAGCTCACACTGCTAATGATGAAACGATGGATTCAGCATCAATACTTTCCATGAATGAGTCGGAAACTACTGAAGACGATGACATGACAATTCGCAGTGATTCCAATCCCGCTATCTTCACTGCACCGTTATCATATCAATCAGTACATCTGTCATCAGAATTCGATAAGACACTACCGTACTTCACGGCTGTCACTGGACTGTACAGCAACGATGTACAAGGAACGAGGTACCATGGTGACAACAAACGAACTCACGATGGTCATACCAACCGATTCGACAACAGCACATCGAAACATCACAGCCGACATCGTCAACATTTCTCCTCTATCTTACGAACACACGTAATGTCCCTATACTGCTCTTTCTTCTACTCTTCTTCTCCTACTCTTAACTATACACATATACACATAGATCTATAGATCTATATATTCATCCTGCATCGACAAACACAACCACATCATTGACGAATGCATACATACACAAACAGATGGATACACACACACACACACACACACACACACACACACACACACACACACACACACACACACACACATACACACGCACACACACACGCACAACATATGCACACACACACACACACTTATAGGACAATAAGGGATAGGTAGAGAGGGTAAGGGGAGAGAGTATTTGACGCGTTCTCTAGAACGCGTTACTGCGCTCTACGCAGTGTTCACAATTTCTTTAGTGTTTGAATCCGTGGAAGTTAACGTTATAAGGCGGATTATCTGTGGCTGTGTTATTTGGATAGAGAGATAAGTAAGAAGGGAGCGTATGACTTAGATCGGGAAAGTAAGCATGCGTGTGGTGTATAAGGACGTTATTATAAGGGTATGTGACTTGTTTTAAAAAGTGGATCAATTACTATTTACCCTGAGGTATGCAGGCTATATTATTTATTCGGAAATTTTGTGTACCATTTAATTGAAAGTTGACAAACTTAAAAATTCTGGATTAAAAAAAACTAACCAACATATTGTTATCTATCGGATTAGATTGATTTCAATGATGTTGATTATAAATGACTGTGATAACTATAACAACAAAGTTTGCAGAAGCTATGATTTTAGAGAAGCCTAATGGTAATATGTAAGACGGTTTGTAAAAGCTAGATCGAATTGTATGCTTAGTGCAGTCATAAAATAATTTCACCTGTCTGAAAAAAAGGCTTGTTTTCATTTTTATGTCTGGAAAAAGACTCGCTTTCGTGATTCATCCGAGCATTTGACCTTTGCTATACAATTTTTAGGTTTGGGGTTGGATAATTGAAACTTTTTGTATGTCTTGCGTTACAGAAGTTGACCGGCTGGTCAGCCGCTCGGGATTTGCCCGATTGCCCTTCGCGCCTTTTCCGGCTCCAAGAGAACTTCATAAAAAATCAGTCTGTGATTTGAAATCCATTTATTCCTCTCGAGGAAATGGGAAATTGGTTAAGAGAGAGAGAGAGAGAAAGAGAGAGAGAGAATGCGGATGGTTGGGTATAATTATTGTTAATGTTACTGGGGAATCTAACTATGGAATAGTGGTAAAAATGAGTGTTTACAGTGCTTTGCGAAATTAGATGATACTGAATCGTATTCCACGTCATAGCGGGAGATGTACGAGAATAGATATCGTAGAATCACTCCTTTTGTATCATTGTTATTTATATTTTGTTTCTCACTGGTTACAGCTTTATGAACCAAAAATAAGGTTATCAGTAAAATCTCATATCACCCTCGCGTATCATACATGAAATAATACAAAGGCGATAGATAAGTATAACACTCATATCATATCGGAAGCACGGATCGCTAACTGGGATTACTGAAGGGTTTTTTAAGTAACGTACGTACGTGACTTAGTAGACTGCTCTAATTTAGGTAATTTATAATTTGCTCGCCCTTGCATCTTGTAATTCGTTGCATGCAGCTAATCCAGTCTATCTATTGAACTTTCGTATAACTCCACGGTAACTAGTTCGAGCTGCAATGGTAATTATTATTCATATATGCATTATTGATTAGTGGCAGACTCCAGCACTTCAATAAATTCATTAACTTTGACATCAGAATGAAAAGGGCATGTGACTGTTGTGCATGGGAAAGCTTGTCAGATATGTATAGCGGTATATTTAGCTAGTCATGGATGACTTTGTTAATCAGTTTAGGATTTTTTGCACACAAATGTAGGCATTTGCGATAGCTTAGACAGTCCATTTCGATTTATGTGTAATAATTGATGGTCCTTTGATCGCTAAACCACGTAATGAGAAATTTATTTCAGAGTGAAGAATTGAGGCCTTCGTCCTCATCTACGGGCACTGTGGAGCGTGGTGTGGAATACTCGCTGGCTGACGCCGCAGACCAAGGTCCACCTGCGAAGAAACCCAGGCAAAATACTTTTTCTGAAGCTTAATCATTAACCTTATCAGTCATTAAAATTGGGGTGTTCTATTTAGTGTTAGCGACTCGTATTTTATCACTGAAGCCTACAAATTTCAATTCTAATCGGGAAGAAAATGGGAAGAGAGACAGAGGGAGACAGAGAGAGAGAAAGAGACTGTATTTGAATGGAAAATGCAGTCGGGTCCGTTTCTTTTTAGGAGCATGCAATCAGCAGGAGTTCAGACACAGCAGCAGTCACCTCCAAAATCTGTTGGTCAACGCATAAAAGTATGATTTCTTCGTTTTTTTGTCACGTGTGGTAAAGGTTCAAACAATTCGGTGAAAGTTGCTCACTTTTACTTGTCGCTTAGCATTCATTTTTCATCCTGACGTTTGTAGTTTTAAGGAAACCTTGCAAACATCAAAAAGTCAGTTATGTCGATCTCCAAATGTCGCAGATACAACTCTTGTTTCGGCCCCGATTTCACCTCCTCCGCTTCGTGCCGCAGAAGTCAATACAATTCGCATCATCGGCCAGTATCTCAAAAATCTTGGATTACAGTATGTTGTTATTCAATCATTTAGTCAGATTTTGTAATATTTTTATTTTATTACTGAATTTTATTGGCAAATTTGTGTTTGCAGGGAAACCGTAGCGACACTGTTTGCGGAAAGTGGATGTCGTCTTGAAGATACTCTAGCAATACGTTTGCGCGAATATATCATAGCAGGTGAATGGGATCATGCACTTGGTATCGTGGATAAAATGTCACCCTTTGTTGCGAATCTGAACTTATTGCGCATCCGTGAAAAATTGTACGAAGAAAAATTCGTTGATTTGCTAGGCAAAGAAAGGGTAATATTTTATATGCATCCGATAAGTAAGAAGTTTGCATTTGGTCATTTTTTAAAAAACATATTGAGGAATTACTTTATACTGTAATGAATTATATATCGACAGCAGATGTCTTTGGCGTTTTAGCATTTGAATAACTCATAGGGTTGTTTAACTTCAGTAAAGATGTAATTTTCAGGTTTTGGAAGCACTCAGTTTGCTGACAGTAGATTTTCCATCAGATCCAGCATTTTTTGATCGACGAAATTTTCTTGCAACACTACTATATGTTGATCCAAAGGTAGTCTGATTGTATAAATTTTTTAAATATTTTAATGTTTTGTGACAGTGTCACATTATCACTATGAACTATTTCCATTTGAAACGATATTTCTTTTCCTTCTCTTGAGTGCTTATTAAATACAGTTTTAGTTGGGTCAGTGTTCAAAAATTCCATCCTTCTAAATTACGTTACATTTAATTTTTCAACGACTGGCAGAAATGCAGGGTCAGGAATTTCTTTCGTTAAACATCTGATATACAGCAATTATTTATTAGCTAGTAATGATTTAGAGTGTAGACGTATGTGCGAAAACGGGAGCACATCGTACTGAACGAGAAAGAAATATACTGGTAGCTGAAATTCAGCAGTTACTACCTACAACAGTCATGCTACCGTGTAATAGGCTGGAGAAATTGCTCATGCAGTGTAAATTATATGCTCATTTTTCCGTTTTTCTTTCTTATTTTTAGCTGGTGAATTTGTTACTTTGACCCTATTTGGAATTGAATAGCCCTTATAACATTCATAACGCTATTGATTTTTTTTCACTTTAGTTTTTTGTCCTATTATATTTTCCTATTGAATCAACTCAGTGTAGTTTGTTTTTTCATATATATTTATGATAACTATATTCTTCAAATTTTTGTCAAATGCTGCAGCCTGGAAGATGCAGTGTCGCGAATGTTATCTCCATGTTAGGGAGGATTTCGATATCTCCCCGGATTATATTTTGGAAGACCATCAGTGTGACTGGGATCATTTCCCTATGTTTACTTCGCAGGTATAGCTTTTCCTATTACATTGAATTTGTTTTTCAGGAAGTCATATAAATCTATTCACTGCTGATGATAAAATTATCTTCTCTGACACATACACTTGAATAAAAATCAATAACTCTATAGTATTTTTCAGTGTATGTTGGTTAGAAGCTTATATGTTTTTAGGTGCTAACGAAACATACAGATGAGGTTTGGTGCGCGGCGTTTTCACGTTGTGGAAAATATTTAGCAACAGGTAGCAGATCCGGAGCAGCTCATATATGGAAAATAATCAATGAAGTTACAGTTGAATCGTATAAAGAGCTTACTGGTATGTTGTTGTCTTTTGGAACGTTTTTATTCATAAATTACGGAATATGACGGTATTTCCATTTTGCGGATTTTTATGGTGGATAATGTGCTGTTAAGCAAAAGTTTTTTTTTTTTCTCTCTGTAAACATTAAAACTGAGGGAAGACGTTTTTATAATCTTATATTGATATGAGTTATCAAACTTTCTTTTCTCCATACACCTGTTACTTCTTCATAGCAATTTTTTATAAATTCAGGAAGGAACAGTTCGTCTTTGTTAACTTGGAGTGACGATGGTGTTCTTCTAGCAGTAAGCGCTGCAGACGGACACCTAGCAGATGTTCACGTCTACGATGTACATAGCGGCAGCACATTTTGTATTATCGAAAACAGAGCGAACGATAGCACTGTTATGTCGTTTGTTCCAAACTCATCATTTAATTATAGACTTGTTTGCGCTGATCAAATGGGACATTTTTGTCTATATGTATGTTTTTATGATTTATTCATGATGTCTGTTAGGTATTTTTCCACATATTTTGATTCTAATTTTTGATTTTGAATAAAAAATCAGTATTTTGATCAAGGAAAGATTGCTATCTACTTTTTTTACCGTTGTTTTACATCTTGCAAATGTAGCCCAAAACTAACAATAGAGGAAATTGTGTAAAAACTTCATTTTCAGACTTTATCGAAGAATAGTGTGAAATCTGAAGGTAAATTCGAGGGTTATAGGATTCGTGCTGTACACTCTCTCAGGAATGGATCAGTATTAGCAGCGGATACTCACAACAGGTGTCTGCAGCAGTTAAATTTCCGTAAACGTTTACACGATTTAATTTAATTTGTGGTTTTTTAAGACCTTGGAAATTTTATTTCAAGCATCCTCCAATTTTCAGAATTCGCAGTTATCGATTTAGTGACGATTCTGAAGTAACGCTTATTGAAGAACAAAGTCAGATTTCAACATTTGTGGTGGATAAGTCGGAGCGACGTATTTTGATTGATACTAAATTGCACGGTTTGAGATTATGGGACTTAAGAACACGAACATTAATCAGATCTTTTATTGGTGCACCGCATCAAGATTTTATTATTCATTCGACTTTTGGTGGTCCAGAGCAGTCTTATATCGCTACCGGTTCCACAGGTATTTATTCCCTTCTTTGGTAATTTCCTTCTGTAATAACTTTCGTAAAAACTTACATAACACAGCATAGTGTTGTGCGAGTAAATATAGTGGACTATATGTGGATTCATAAGTTATGTTGCGCGAAGACATTCTTTTCTGTGTGATTCCCCTGATAGTTATGAGATTGGTTTTTATGTAATTATTTTACTTATAGTTGAATCAGCGTGATGGTACAATTTTGAAACTTTTACCCTACAGTTTTCAACAATTAATTGGTCTCAATTTAACGAAGATTTAATGATTAGTGATTTTGTTTTCCGCGGAGAAAAAGCATTATCCAAATATTTTGTCTTTTTAAGAACTATGATTTTACCAAAAAGCTTTAGAACCTTTGATTTGTATCTTCTAATTTCAGCACTTTTTGAATTATAAAATTTATTTTATTTGTAGATGAATGTATATACGTATGGAAGCAAAGTTCCGAGGAATTGATAGCAAAATTGGCAGGGCATACAGCACGTGTGAATGCTGTGGCATGGAATCCTAGATTACCACAATTGGTTTCCTGCTCTGATGATTGTACAATCCGTATTTGGAGTCCGCTTGTCGGCATTGATTCATCCACTATTCAGCAGAATTGATATCATATTTCATTGTATTACTAGGTTCGCTTTTTCGTATTTAATTTCATTAAGTGTTGCCTATTTGAATGCAAGAGTGTAAGCATACAGATTATAACGTTTGTGTAAAGCAGTCATTAAGCATTTTTGCTCCTTCTTTTGTTTTTGAAAACTCATGTTTCATTTTCTCTCCAATGCAAAGTACCTCAACTTAGTCAGTGATTATTTGTTTACATCATTCGGCTTAGTTAATACTCCCTTGTTTGCCTCCGAACTTCAGGCGCTAACCAAGCAGTAATTTGTGCCATTGTTATTATTGAATGCCGTTAGGATCACCTTGCCATTTGTTCGGGCTCCGTATATTTCTGTGCGTACTAATAGAAGTCGATGATTGTATTACCTTCATATTTGATTTTTTTTTATATGAGACACTTGTTTCAATGCCGTTATCATCTCCAAGCACTTTAGCATTGTCAAGGTAACCTTTTATGTTTCCAACATGTGCCTAAAGGTTACTATTGGTCTCGATTTTAAGTTTTTGTCAGAGTCACAGTTATATCTTCAGTGACAATTGCATTAGCATTGAAAATTTTCGTACCGTTTGTAAATGCATTGTATCAGAAGAGACACACAGGAACGGGTCATCCCCTGTGATCGAGTGGTGGAATTGCTGGTTTCTAAGATTGTATTGTGTCA